TGGTGGTATTTTTGGGTATATGATGTTGTGTTTGACGTATGTCTATGGTATTTTTTTCCTATTTTGATAAGTACCTTCTTTGGTCTATAGAAATTTGACAAAATTCTGAAACAACCTATACCTAATCATTGAATTATAGTAATCAACTACTTATCATTTTAATAATCACATTTTACCCAACACCGTTCTAATTTGGAACCCCTCAACCGATTTACAAAAAAAAAACATAATATAGTACCCAACGTGCTCTATTCGAGAATGTGAACAAATTCGAAATATACAGATTTTCAAGCCCTACTTTCGTTTGTTGAAATGGTCAAAATTTCGATAACGACTATTAGGCAATTTTTCATCGAAACTGTGACCAGCCAATTCGATGCGAAGCATAGCTGAAATACTCTTATGCAAACGCAAAATCTCAAATGGGGTCTTAGTTATTCAGTGACAAGTTTTGATATCTCGATTCACCCTGTATCAAAATCTGAGGAGTTCATATAACTGGTGAAGTAATCATTTAATGGAGGAACACATCGGATACGCGAAGTTTCATCGTTGTAACTTCTTACAGAAAGACCTCTCTAGTAAAACAAAAACTAATGAAATTGAAGGTGACATTTCTTTTCATTGTTATCCATATAGTTTTCTCCTGGGAATATATTCGGTTACTATTTCGAGGAAATATTCCCTATATAATAATTTCCATTGTCATCTCAAAGATCTGTATCAATCGAGACTATTTTCAAAATTACTGTGTGGTGAAGTGTGTGAGAAATGGTTTACTTGAGTTTTCAAAATGGTGAACCTCAACTTTGATTTTATTGATTTTTGGTTGACCTAGAGAGATCCTCCTGTACAAGGTAGTAAGGTACAACGATGAAACTTTGTATCCAAGTATTTGATGTGTTTCTCAATTGAATGACTACTTCACCAGTTATATCAAATGCTTAGATTTTGATACAGGGTATATCGGAAAGTAAAAAATATCATAATTTGCCATCGAATAACAGCATATATGAGATTTTCGGTTGAAATTTTTTATAGAGGGATTGAAGCTATACCTGAATCAAATGGGCTAGTCACTGTTTCGACGAAAAATTGCCTAATAGTCGTTTTTGAAATTTCGACATATTCAACAATCAAAAGTAGGCCTTGAAAATCTGAATATTTCAGATTTGTCCACATTTTTGAAGTCGTTGAGTACTATATTATCAAATTTTTGTTTTTGAAAATCGGTCGACGAATTAGAAGTGTGTAGCGGGTTGAAGACAGTGGAGACTGTAGATGAGATTTTCGTATTCTAACCTCAATGGTTTGGCGTTTTAAGCCAGTTCAATTCTATTTTTTATATCGAGCTGAGCATACTTTAAAACAACATTTTTTGACATTTGTAGAAAGAAATTTGTTTGCAACTCGTGCGCAAAATATACTTCGGTGATCCCAACTATTTTTCAACACTCTGACTGCCATGTCAGTCATTTCTGACCGACAGCTTGGTCTCGTGCTGAGCCGATGCACTTTCATTGGTTCGAACGCGTCAGGCCACGCGAAGTTTTCAGAGTAGGGGGCATCTAAGTGATCAGCATATTGCTGCTCAGACATTGTAAAGTCATTCTGGTGTACAGAAGAGCATAAAAAGATGTCAGCTAGAATCGATCTACGCGACCTGACAAGGCAATTTTTTTCAATGTATATTAGTAAAACTGCTTGATATACTCCTATTAGTCATTGATTTATCGATAAACGCACAGGAGTTGGAACATTTGATATAACAGCATAAGGATAAAGCACCGAAAGATTGTTCAATTTTTTACAAAAATCTGGTGAAACAATATGAACGGGGCTAAAAATGAGGTAAAGAGAGTGCGGACGCATTGAGAAGGCTGCCAAGAGATGCCTTCTATGTGCATTGAATGTCATGTGAAAATTAGATTCAGATATGTTCATGAGTTTTTCCTCATTTTCATTCGGATGTATATGTCTGTTAGAAGATACCGATACTCCTCAATATGAATTGCTGACTCGTTTGGTGCCATTCCCATGACCATAAGTAATCAATATGAAATTTGTGAGAGTGGGTAATATCTTCATTCCCATAAAGTATAAAAGCTTTCTTGATATACAACATTCATATCGTTTTTATTTTATTGTTGGCTCGGATCGAAAAATATCTGATACCAGTGACGTGCAAGAAATTTGATATACAGTGTGTGAGATTTCAACCTGCAACTTCCTCCTAATTTGAACTTGTTGACCGATTTTCCAAAACAAAAATTCCATACTTAGACAAATCTGAAATATTCGGTTTCTGATGGCTACAATTGTTCGTTGAACGGGTCAAGATTATTAGACTATTATGTTCAAGACAACAATATCAAAGTATTCAGGGTGTCCCATAAGTCATATAGTGACGAAAGTCGTGATATACTTATTCCAAAGTAGATATAGTGGTATCGCCTATCCGCTATCTGACGACCATTTGATGAAGGTCATCATAGTATCTTGGTCATTCTGACTATTTGAAAACTTTCTATGTTTGGAGACCATAACCTGTCACGAAATCTTGATAGCAAACCTCAGATTCTGATGCAGCACCTAGAAATACGTGTGGAATGAGAGTAATCTAAACTATATACCCCATAATTTTCCTGGTAAAAATACATTTTACGTGGATTATTGAAGGATGATCGTCTCCGCTAGTTCGAGATCAAGGAGAGTTATACTGGCTTATCACCGCTTCCTGAGTTATCTCATAGCAATGGAAGCCGCGAGGTATATTCCAAAGAGGATAGTGTTCTGACCTATATCCGCTGTCAGAAATCCATTGAATGAAGATCAAAGTATTACGGCCATTCTGACCATTTGAAAACTTTCCAGGTTTGTACACCATAACCGACTACCTGTGATCGCCAGATATCAAAATGATCCATAAGTCATATAGTGATGAAAGTCGTGATATACTTACCAAAAGGTAGATATAGTGTTATGGCCAATCGGCTATCTGACGCCCATGTATTCCGATCATTCTGACATATATGAGAACTTTCCATGTTTGGAGACCATAATCGAATACCTGTCATGAAATCTTGAAAGCAAATCTGGAATGAAATAAATCGGAACTACCCCATAATAGTCCTGGAAAAACACATTTTGAGTGGATTATTGAAGGTGGAGAGTTTCCGCTTGTTCGAGATTGAAAAGATCTGTTCATTTTATCTTCTTGAGGAGTATTTTTTCATACTGGCCCCAGATACCAATCCAGTTCTTGATATTCCCATCGAATTTTCCCAGATCAATCTTCGGTAGTTTGAATTTGCTCTTGATTTTCTCACTTGTGCAGCTATCTCCTTTAGTGGTTTCGATGTCTACCCACGAAAAGGAATATCCTGTAATGTTCAGAGAACATCGTGAGAACCAAGGGAAATAAGGTAGGAATTTCTGGTAGTAGTCCATGCTCAAATTGGAGGTGATGAGAAGATTCAGAGAACAAACTCAAAGTCTCGTTCCAAATATTGGAGCGAGACTTTGAGTTTGTTCTCTTAATTAAGGTAGGAATTGGTGTTCTTCTTGAATTTCTGGAGGTTATATGACTCGGAGAACACCTCCCTTGGCAATGTGTTCCAGAGCCTCGCTGTTCTTTGAATGAACGAGACTTTGGAAATAGATGTTCGACAGGTCTCCAAAATGACCACGAAGGGTTGCGAAGCCTCAACTCGACGGGTTAATCTCGCGGGGACTGCCAAGGGGGTAACAATTCTTGATATTTCAGAAGAGCATCGTCCATGGAAATATCTATAAAATAGAGCCAGATCGTCAACTCCTCTACGATGTTCCAGAGAAGTGAGTCAGTTTGTGAGTGATCGATGCATCATCCACGAGACGAATTGACCTTTTTTGGACAGAATCTAACAGTTTCAGGGTATGTTGGGCTGCTGCACTCCGAATATGAGAACAGTATTCCAGGAAAGGTCGGATCTGTGCCTTGTAGATTGAAAGCAGCTGACGGGGAGTGAAATAGCGCCTGGTCCGAAACAGAAGACCAAGTTCTTGGGATGCATTTTCAGCAATTGATATCACGTAATTTTCCCAGGAAAGGTTATTGCTGATAGTAATACCAAGCATCGAAATGGATGTTTTCAGAGGTATTGTTACTCCTGACGAGCTTATGTTGGGCACAGTGAGATCGGCTTTTCTAGAGAAAAGGCATGCTTGTGTTTTGTTTGCATTGAAATCTACCAAGTTATTGGATCCTCATTCGAGAATTGTTGCCGAGTCCATATTTATGTTGTCAACATTTCTTTCTCGTTCGTTTCTGATTTGCCTGGCTGGAATTGGAGCCCTGGAAGAGGAGGCGGTATGGAGGGTACTATCATTCGGTAAGCTGCGTACTGGACATGAAGTTGCTTACAACAAATCGTTGATATGGAGTAGAAATAGTGTTGGTGCTAGAATTGATCCTTGCGGAACACCAGCATTCATGATAAGAGAGTCAGATGATACTCTGTCGACCACTACATGGAGAGACCTGTTTGAGAGAAAACTAGCTAGCAGAGAACATAGCTGGGGAGGCAAGCCATAAGATGGAAGCTTGGTGTCAGACTCGATCGAATGCCTTGGAGATATCAAGTGGCACAGCTAAGGTTTCATCATATTTTTCAATATATTAAATGAACAGAAGAGGCCCCAAAAGATATCCTTGACGCACTCCGCTATAATTCGACAAATGATCCGAAAAGAAATGCTCATCGTTGTTGTCACTTAAATGATGTATTTTCACTGTTTGCGTATTACTATCATCCGAGAAGCTGTGTACTGGACATGCAGTAGCTCCCAACAAATCGTTGATATGGAGTAGAAATAATGTTGGTGCTAGAATTGATCTTTGCGGAACACCAGCATTTGTGATAAGAGAGTCAGATGAAACTCCTATGCCTATGCGCAATCTGACGCCCATCCAATGAAACTCATAGTATTGTATTCCGACCATTCTCTTCATTTCCCAGGTCTGGAGACCATAACCGACTACCTGTCATCGCCAGTGTACCCGTGCATCCAGTGCCTCTGCCATGGCGTCTCCGGATGTTGGCGCAGACAGAACTGCGCGCGCTACTCCGTGAGCAAGGAATACTGGATGCAAGCAGGCTCCCTGGTGGTCTCGGCAGCCGACGACCCCTCCAGCGACGCCAGCTACCGGAAGTGCCTGCAGAACGAGAACTGCATAGTGGGCACCATCATCAAGTACACGGAGCAGTACGGCGAGGCGGTGAGTTCGACATGATCGGCTAGCACTCTAGTATAAGATTGTTTTAAAATTTTGTCTGTGGGTTTATCGATATTTCCTCCTTTATCTCTATTAACAATTTCTGCCTCCTCGTCAAAAATAACGTTTGCACTAACAGATACTTTTTTCTTTACTAGGTCCCAAAGACGATTATTTGAAGATTCTTTATCGTAACCAACAATCATCTATTTACGACTTCTTGGATCCCATTTCTTTCGCAATTCATGTGGATTATGCATGTATGCTATGGAGCCAAAAGTTTTCAAATGCTCAATACTTGCTGGGCTTCCTTCCTAACCACTTCTGATATGGAGTGGAATTCATGTCTTTTCCTGAAATGGTCCTATTCACAACGTATACAGAAGTATTTACAGCTTTAGTCCACATTTTCAAAGGAACATGTTTTGCTTGTTATATGCTTATAACATAGAACGTGCACTTTCTGTAAAAGTTTTGATGTCTCTTCCTGCTACGCCATTTTGTTCATGAGCGTATGGTGCAGATGTTTCATATATATCCTTTTTCCTCAAAAAATGAATGCATTTTTCTCTTTATAAATTCCTTGCCATTGTCACATCTGGAAGTTTTCATAAAATCTCCAGTACTCAGATTTTGTGATGACATCAATCTGAGTTCCTACACTTTCAATTCAATATCACGTATGTTTGTCAATAATGAAGATAAGATTCCTCTTCTCCATAAACCAGGTGTATATGAATTATCATGTTCACATCCCAATTGCAATTCCCAGTACATGGCCATTGGCCATATCAAACTCATAGGAAAAGCAACAAATCCTCCTCTTTCAGAAGGGTTGATTACTAGTAGTTTCTTTGCCAACCACATTCTCAACTCCAAACATAGTTTCAACATTGACAATAATTTAGAAATTTTTCATTCATGCCAAAAAGGTCGTCTTTTGAATATTTCAGAAATTTATGAAATAAACTTATCCTTGAAAAAAGATAATGTGATTTTTCTGAATGAACAAACCCATTTTGATTGCCTCAAATTTTTCAATTCAATAAATAAAACCACCCCATCCAATTCTGTCTTACCTTGCTCTTTGTTGTAGGTTGGTGGTTTCAGGGCATGGAGATAGAGTATTGTTTACCAATCTTGTTTCCGTTTCCAATCTGGCATAGTGTTTGTTCTTTGGTATCGTGTGCTCACTGCTCAAAACATAATATTTAACTGATGTTACTTAGTGTTCCATGATCTGCTTGACTTTTGACATTTGAAATATTCTGACGTTTGTCATGTCAATTTTCATAACCTCCAGTTTCACGCACATGTGGTTCCTTCTCTTCAACAGGTTAATATTTATACCTCATCAAACTTTCAGTTGATTTTTCGAAGTTTAATTATCCCCTTTCGGTAATTCAAGGGCACGTGGGCCCTTGTAAAATATGAACCCGACCTTTGAACGACATAATTTTATATCAGAATAAATGTATAACATAATTTTATATTATTTCACAGTGACAGTAAGTTTTTCAGGTTTCTTCACTTTTTCTTAATATTCTAAATCAATCGTTTTCCAGTTCATGGAGCATATTTCCTTGTTTGCGCTTTTAGTAACTGTACTATTTGTATGCCTACTTTTTTATTTCCATGTAAGTACTCAGTAACTCTTGCATCTGTATCCTAAGTCAACACTGATTTCTCTAGAACTATGATATCTTTTATTGGCTGATGATGAGCTTATATAAGCCCGAAACATGTTCATTCTAATAAATCTTGTGGAGATGACTATGGACACCACTCCACTTTCAGTTACCATGGGCTTCTTTCATTGACTAAAAGCAATACCTCCAATGCCGAAGAGCTCTTCTTAATATCAAAACACGAGGTGTTCAGAAACAATAATATGATTATGGCCTACTGCATTTAGGAAATCAGTAGTAATACCTCTATATAAAAAAGGAGATGAAACCAATGTCACTAATCACAGACCTAAATCATTATTTACTCACTTATCAAAGATATTTGAGGAAATACGGAAAAACAGATTAACTTCATATTTAGATAAATATCAGATTTTGTCAAATAAGCAATATGGTTTCCAGAATAAAACATCAACCGATGATGCAGTCACAGCCCTTACTTCAAAAATATATCAAGCTCTTGATGAAAAAAATGCATGCCTCTGCATATTTATCGACTTGTCAAAAGCATTTGATACGGTCAGTCATGATTTGCTCTTACAACGCCTGGAAGAAGTAGGAATTAGGAACACGGCTCTAAAATTATTCACAAGCTACATCTCCAACAGAAGCCAGGTTGTGAGAGTGAATAATGTACTAAGCGAATCTAAAATCATTCAGTTCGGAGTACCTCAAGGTACAGTACTGGGACCATTACTGTTCCAGCTCCAACATAAAGAACTGGTTGGATCACAGTCTCCTGACTATAAATCTCGAAAACGTATGCTACATTCCATTCAGTTGTAATAAGTCAAACACTGCAACCTTCAATCACCTCGAGATAACTAGCTCCACTCAAACATATATACATATAATATTTTACCATTTCATTTCATTAGAAATAGAAGTCTCCTTTTGACTCCTGAAAGTAGAACAAATCACGTTCTGAATTCTCCTGTACACAGATGTGTTAAATCTTGTAACTCAGCTCTGAGTGATAAAAGAAATAGTAATATTGATATTCTCTCGCAAAACCTTAGTCAATTCAAGAGATGTCTGGAAAAAATTATGTATTCATGAGTTCATGAAAAAACTTATATGTTCCTTATTGATTACACCTCCATTGTTTCAATATAATATACTACTATGTCTTCTCGTCATTCCATGTACATATGATTTGAAATATTTTGAGAATTATTTTTGTTCCTTATATAGACATTTGATTATTTTTTCCACTCTTTTTCGTTTCTTAAGCCACGACAACTTGTAACTATTGTTTATTTTTGTAATCTGTGCTACTCTATTATTGGGTTTCTCTGACCTGTTGAGTGGCCTTAACTTGAATAAATAAATAAATAAATAAATAAATAAATAAGAGCTCAAATATTTAGGAGTCATTCTTGATTCACATCTCCGATGAGATGCACATATTCACTATATCATCAATAAATTACAATTCATTCTGTATAAATTTAAAGCATTGAGATAGTATATTATTCGACGAGCTTGTAATGATGGCCATTACTCATGAGAATGAAGTTTGCGACGTGAGCCGCAGGCGAACGTCGTAATCATTCGAATGAGTAATAGCCATTACACGCAAGTAGAATACTATACTTTTTCTATGACTGAGTGATGAACTGGTTGAGTTCATCAGCAGTGAATATCTTCGCTTTATTTGACATATATCGATCAGATTTCCTTCTCAGAAATGCTCGTAATTTCAAATATTTGTCAATATTCACATAATTTTCCATTGAAATTGTGCTTCTTAGTATATGCATGGAATACTGTGACCACAAGGAGGATGCTTTGTGTTTAGCTGGTAATTCGCCAAAATAGGCTAGCAGTACATTATCCGAAAACGAATTTGCAAGTTTTGCTTTTCGCCAAACCACTTCATACCTTTTTTTAGATTCCTCGGGCAAAAGGCTGATTGTACTTGAATTGGCAGCTTTCGAAACTCCTGATGGTGGAGAGCAGTTGAATTCATTTTCGCTTTCTGAATCCATATTTGTACAAAAAGTCAGTTCTAAATCACGCCAGATAGCTATTGTCAAATTATGACATTTCAAGACGAGTCTGATTCAAACGTTTCACTGCATGCCCCATATTATCATTACAACTGGTGTCAACTGTTTTGTAGGTAATGAATCTGCTTTGTTGCTGATTGGCCATAGCCTGGTGTGTAAAGGCTCTTACACACGGGGCGTGGCTTGTTTTGTGTAATGCATTCAGTTACCCAACAGAAATGTTACATTGAAAGGGTCTAGTTTTCAACAGTCATAGAAAAACATTATTACCATATCATCACGTCAAAATCATTCCCTTGTTGAAAGTCACTTACGTTATGGGGTAATATCATGAGGCGTAGCAGCTGCATCCTACGGAAATCCATTGGATATCCTACAAAAACGGTTTCTCAGAACTCAGCTACATAAAGATTATTCGTGTTCCTCAGAATCACTATACATTGAAGCTTACGTATTTGATACTCAGCAGTTTTACTACAATGCCATCATAATCAAATATCATTGCATAAAGAGTTCTGAAAACTTACCTTCACATCATTATTCTACTCGTAACAAAAAACATTGCATTATTCCCCAATGTTATAAAACAATAGGACAAAAATCATTCTCATTTATGGGTCCCAAATTATATAATACCCTTCCCGAAAATATATAAAACATCACGATTACAAAGTTATTCAAAAAAAAATTGAAACATTTCAACAGAGTTAGTACTAGAGATTCAATTGATATGTACGTAGATCTGAAGGCATGAATACTCATCGTCATGCCCTCGATTGAACATTATCAATATTGATGAATATTTACAATTTACTATAGAAAATGAAAGTAATAATAGTGTACCATTTCTTGACACCAGACTTATCAGGACAGAAGAAAATAAAATTAGACTGGTATATCAAACTATCAAACCTACTAGTTCAAGAAGATATATTAATTATTTCTCTTATCACACAGAGACAACTAAAATAAATTTAATTCTTGGAATGAAAAATAGAATAATAAAAATATGTCATCGAAATCTTAAACAACAAAATTTGAGAAAATTATTCGATTTATTGATTGAAAATTCCTATCCAGAACATTTACTCTACACATTACTTTTTTCAACTCCAAATATTTCAGATAATAGAACCATTCAATTACCTAACAATGATATAAACATTGGAATTCCACAGCCTGATATTATTCGAAAAAAATATAGATCATTACCATATATCAGGGATCTGACTTCAAAAATTAATAATGTTCTAAAACAACAAGATGAAATTGTAATGACTAACAAACCAATCAAAACTGTGAGTAAACTTTTCACGAAATTGAAAGATAAAACTCCAAATATTGATAAAGCTGATGTAGTATATGAGATAAATTGTAAAGAATGTGATCAAAAATATATTGGAGAGACAAAGAGAAATTTGAAATCAAGAATTACATCGCATAAAAGTGATATTCGTGTAAAACCAAATGCATGCGCTTTATCCCAACATGTTAATGATACTGGACATCCAATGGATTTTGATAACATCTCAATATTAGTAACAGAAAAAAATACTTTCAAGAAATGCTTCTTAGAAATGATTTATATAAAAAATGAAAAATGCTCAATGAATAAAAAAACAGATATTCAAAATTAAAATGTAATTTATTCAAATATTCTAGAAATAGAGAATAAAAGGCATGATAGACACACTTTTACCTATCTAATTCTTCAACCCCTTGTATTGTTTTCATGTTACATATTGTCACTTTGACAAAGTTATTTCAGTTTTATATCCATGAATTTATGCATTTTTTACAATTTCATACTACTTATTCTGATTTGCAATTCTACAATATCATATACTGTAAGTAATTTCTAATACCCATTTCTTTTGAATATTATAATTGTACATTTCATTTTAGAGAGACTGACGAAGGAATTAAATAAATTCCGAAAGCTTTCTCAAGAGTAAAAAGAGTTTTCTTTTGAGTCCCACATCAGCTGCATCCCCACAAACCCTATACCTAATCTATTGATTTATACAGCTACTAATATTAATTGAATATATATATATATATATATAAATAGATATATTCTTGATCTTGGTCTTTTAGTCGAATGTTCAGTATGTCTTATAGACACATCTTTACTTTTTGCATATATGTCACTTAAACAAGTGAGTTCTCTCACTTATCAGCTTGTAGTTCATATTTATTCACTTTTCAACCCTATTTCTATTCAATCTTTTACTAACTTATTATATACTTCTATACACTCTATGATATGTACTATATATACCTAGTGAATGAATATATTATTATTATTATTATTATTATTATTATTATATTAATATATTCAAGTAACTAAAATACGTAACATGCATAGAAACTATATACATAAATAAATAATTTAACTCAACAATCATAATATTTTTTCTTTTTTCCAGGATTGCAACTGTGATGAAAAGTTCGACTGCAAAGACAGGTTGGCCATCCATTTGTTTGGAAACAAGTGCGAAAAACCGTCCTTTGGCCATACCATTGCCAGAAGATTCAACGACTGCGCAGCTAGGGTTGGGGTTTCCGCTATGCTGAGTTCGGAAGGAGACGATTTTTGTACCTTACCGATTGTTCATTAGATATTTGAATCCATTGATATTGATTGTCCACCAGATGCTGAGGCGTGTACCGGGAGGGGACTTTTCTCAGGGGATGAGTAAATAAATGTGGTTCTTCAAGAGTGTTTCTTTGTAGAATGCCGTTTATTTTGTAAGAAGGGGCGCCAGAGCTTGTAGAAGACACAGACTAAAAACTAATACCATGGTTTAACACGTGAATGTTCGGCCTTTGCCATACTTAACGCTACATGCACATTTCCTCGATTGGCTAATCTAGAATCAAAAACTCTTTACTCACCTAATACCAGGAACACTTGGGAAGATTACTAAAGTAATTTTACAAGCTGAATCCAAAAGGTTATTGATTTAGAGCCACTAAGCCTTTGGAAAGCTCGCTGACAACAAACTAGATTTGCAAAAAGTCGGTAGTTCTAAATTCGACAAAAAACCGAGTAAATAATGTTCAATATTCGGAATAAAATGGTACTGCTCGCGCCATCTAGTTCTGCTCATATTGACCGATTATTAGTGATTAATAATAAGAAGTAGGTTTCTGTAGGTCGCGTATATAGTACCCAAATAGCCAAAGTACCTATATGATTCTACAGCTCGTAGGATTCTGTTACCCCCCTTAGCTTACGATGCATGATAATCATTATTTTCATCTAACTTATTATTCAAGTATCGGAAGTTTCAACCTGATTATAATATTTTTTCAAGTGGCTAGAATAAAACGAACCACGCTCTTTATGGGTACTGGGATCCACCAGTATGTAAGTAGCCGAGCTTATCGATTTTTTTATTTCGTAAGGCCCGGATACCGGATTAGCTTTTAGTAATACTAAATCGCCCTCTTTGAACTTCTCGCACGGGTTAGTCCGAGAGGCGGATCGCCGCGCTGCCTTGCTAAGGAGTGATTCGCGCGCCAAAATCATTTTCTTTTCGGGGGACACCACCGGACAGTGGGTTTGGGGACCCCTCAACTCTTCGGGAAGTAACCGAAGGCTCTCCGAACCAAGCTGTAACTCGCTGGGACTAAAACCCGTGGATTCGTGTACCAAGGAGTTAATAAATAGCGTGAAATTTGATAGCTCATAAGCCCATCGCTTATGTTGCTCATTACAATACGTCCGGCAGACCAACCAAACATGGAAACATAACTCAAACATAAATGTTATATTACATTGTTACTTTGTGTTGTTATCCAGAGAGATGCTTAATGTCACAGATACGTTGCCTTTGTGCCTCTTTCGAATATCACAATGTAATGTTGATGGTAAATATTATCGGGAATCACATAAAATCAATGTTACTTCATAACGTATATTTGATGTTACTCAAAACATCTACACAATATTGTATATTAACATTCTGATTAGTTTCTAGGAGTTTTTAGGTTAGGTATGTCTATTTTGTCTGGAATCAACAAGAGAATCATCTGAATGGTCTTCAGAAAAGACAGAGAAGATGATCTATCCCTGAATATGAATTGATCTTACCATACTCCTGAAAGACAAGTATGATCCAGTTACACTGTGATATTTTGAGACAGATTAACTACTATCTTTTTCAGTATCATTTTAGTTATTCTGCTCCATAAATCCAGTCATATATCTAACTCAGCTATATGATTTCTGCATAATCCGGTGATCTCTTACTCAAATTCTGAAAAGTAATTGGTGAATATATACCTATACGAGTTTTTGGAAGTTTCCTGAAGTAATTTCAAATTCTATTCAATGTTCTTTCTCTAGCTATGATATATAACTCACCCATTATTTTTGTAATTCGTGAAATATGAACGCAATCCGTATTCACGAATCCCTATGGCTCCTTCCTACGATATCTTTTTTTTTTCTGATAATGTCAAAATTGCATGTGAAGTCCACATTGAGAGTTAAAAAACAAGACTGATCAAGTTCAATCGTAACTTGACCTCTCCTATGTCTGTTTATACAGGTGAGTCATGAGGTACTGTACATACTCCTACCAGGAATAAAGGCCCTTGAGAGGAAAACCTATAATGACCATCAGAAAGTGTATTCTTCTCTTCTTTACCAATATATATAGGGTGAATTATGAGATTTGGCAAATACATCTTTCAAGCATAACTTTCCAACAGCTCTCTCGATTCGTCTAATGTTTCCATGGAATATTCCTAAACTGAACCCTAATCGACTGACATTTTCAGTATCAGGAAAATCCAGGACCGTTTTTGAAAAATTTCGATAGTTTTGTTTTCATCAAGAAGTTCATCCTGTATATGGTTTCTGTAAACTGTGACAGGAGGGAATTTTCAAAGCACACAAACAAGCATCAAAAATAAAATATTCGAAATTCTCCTCACATTTTCACAGATTTGTTCAAAAAACGATGAATTATAAGCAGAAACGAAAATTGACAACAAATTCATTCAATCGAGAATAATCACTTTGCAACGCATAAATTTCACAAATAGAAATAAGACTCACATTTTCGATGCCTCTTTCATTTCCAAGCCTGGATTTCGTCATTTAATTTTTTATGGAGGGTAATAATCACCCTGTAGATCTTTTTCGAATTAGTGGATGAGGTATTTGTTTAGATGTTGATAGTCATCGATTCAAATAATTCAAGATAGTCGAACAGAAAATAAAGGTTCATACAGAATTATTTTTCAGATATCTGACAAAGGCGGATATAATAATCCTATCACGAAAAATAAGTGACCAAATCGACTGAATAAAACAAATCGTGAATTGAGATTACCTATCACATGATCATCCCATTTGGAATAATAAAACTAAAATTGTTCCTCTTATACGATGATCCACAGGGCTATCAGTCTATTTTTCATAATTATTTCACTTAGTAGGCGGTGTACCTACATAATAAAATGTTTAATGTGTTTGACAGTTAATCGATTGCATCAATAATTTTTCTTCTTCATTTGTGTGTTAATTAAAATTGCATATTATCAATACTTAGAGACGGAAAATGTATTCAAGAAACAAAAAAGTCGATATGTTGATAATATGCAATTTTAATCAACACACAAATGAAGAAGGAAAATTATTGATGCAATCGATTAACTGTCAAACACATAAAACATTTTGTGTAGGTACACCGCCTACTAAGTGAAATAATTATGAAAAAATAGACTGATAGCCCTGTGGATCATGGTATAAGAGGAACAATTTTAGTTTTATTATTCCAAATGGGAAGATCATGTGATAGGTACATGGCGAAACTAAAAGACAGATAGTTTCTGTACGAGTACCTGAATTCGAAAAAATATGTTCCTATCTTAGATTCCTCAATATCATGAGTTATTTTCGAAGGTTTTCATCTCGACTCAAACAAGCTATTGACAACCTGCAGACATTGATCAGATTATCAAATTATTTTGAATAATATCGGTTTACTAATGATATTTGAATTTCAAAGCCTACCAAGTGTCGATATATCATCGAAATCATGTTGAATAAAAAGAAATTCAACAGCGAACCAAGGAATAAATGCCACTTTGTGATATATGGTTGGATAGAGAATTTCAAGGCGAATAAGATAGACTGAAGAAATGTACAGGGTGACATTTAAAAAAAAAGTTGGGGTCACTTCCGGTCAAACAGATGGATGAAAAAAATTTTCGTCAAGTTCGTAAAGTGCGCTACCATTTATTATATACCTTCTGTGCATTTCAAAATTTTATCTCTTCAAATAAAAAAACTACAGGCTGCTACATGTCTCCTGTGTCACCCGGTATAGTTGAAGTACTATCTTTAGTTTGATTTCAAATACTTGTATGTTGATCATAACTTCCTATTCGTTTGTCAACCAAATATAACAGTGAGCGAGCTATTATGATATTTCAGTTACAGTTATAATGTTGTTGAAATATTTTTGGTCGACGTTGAATTTGTTCATGTACAACTTTTCCTCAATTGTTTTGACGATCACCCAATCATTGAATGTACCATCATTGTAGTTTTATTCAAGAATTATAATGATGTTGTTGATCAAACACATTTTTTTGTCAATTCAACCCATACTATTTCTTTGAGTGCACTGTAGATATTTTTACGTCATTCGATAAAGCGAACAATCTCCATTTCAATTAAATATCACGAGTGGATTTGAGTTTCCCAAATGGATGCGCAAGAGACATTTTGTTCTTAAAACAATATGGCGGTGCTGTGACGTCATCGATCGAGTTTCAGTCAAGTTTCCTGATGAAATAGCAAATAAACGAAATACTTAGATTATTCTTTGAACTCTTTCGCACGTTATTTTCAACTTTCCTTAGTTCCTTATTTCTGGCATATACAGAGTGGGCCTTTGAAAACGAAACAGAGGCTCTGTAGGTCGCCAAAACCGGATTATCAAAAAAAACTGAAACAAGTCAACTACATTTTCGAGGGGGACATCTTTCTAAAATATTTTCAGCCCTGCGGCGTTGCCGCTTCTAAAGAAAAGAAGCAACAACTTTGTTATTTCAAATGGAACACCTTGTATTTTATTGCATTCTTAGATTCTCTCCGAAGAGCTGAATTCATCAATGCATCACACTTGGGGTCTAGCTGTAATGGTTTCAGGGATATAAAGTGTTCAAAATCGAGATTTTTCAACTTTAAAATTTTTTTGTGTCGAAACTATTCATTATTGGCCAAAACGGCTCCCATGTCCCTATCTCAACTTGTGATTCACTATCTACTGACATTAATTTGAAACAAATACAGGGTGGTTCAAGATTCAGAATTCTGATCACCCTGTATCTGTTCCAATTAAATGTTAGTAGATAGTGAATCACAAGTTGAGATAGAGACATGGGAGTCGTTTTAACCAATAATGATTAGTTTCGACACAAAAAATGTTAAAGTTGAAAAATCTCGATTTTGAACACTTTATATCCCTGAAACCATTACAGCTAGACCCCAAGTGTGAGCATTGATGAAATCAGATTTTCGGGGAGAATCTAAAAATGCAATAAAACACAAGGTGTTCCATTTGAAATAACAAAGTTGTTGCTTCTTTTCGTTAGCAGCGGCAACGCCGCAGGGCTGAAAATATTGTAGGACGATGTCCCCCTCGAAAATGTAGATGACGTGTTTCAGATTCTTTTCATAATCCGGTTTTGGCGA